TAAAAATACATTACAAAAAATAAAATAAAATAAAAAGTTTCCTAAAGCAAGAAATAAGGAAGATAGCTTTGAAGACATGAGCTATAAAATTTTCTGAAGATGCTGACTTACTGTTCATAAGGGAAGGGAAAAGGTCACCTTATGACTTGTCATGCTGATTCAAGAAAATCCCTACCAGCAACTAATTTAAGAAGCAACATAAAAGTGGAAGGGAAAATAAAGAGAAGAAAAAGAATAACAAGACCGATTTGAGAGGGTGGACCCTTGGTGATGTGGGAAGAGGAGCTGCAGAAGGAATGGCAGGGACGCTATGGGGTCTGTGTACCACATCAGTCCTAGCCCTGCCCTCCCGGAGCCAGCCAGGTGACGCTTGGGCACTGGTGGAGGTGGCCTATCCCATCATGCCTTGCGCAAAGTATCACCCGAGACCCCTCACTCCTCTTCCATTTGTTTCGGGTTCCATGTCCTGCCTGAGGAACTGGAACCAGGAGCCCTAGTCTCGTTCTAGTGTGAAGGGTCTTCATTAGTTTGCCCAGTTTCAACTACTTGCTAACCACCCCTGCTGCTCAGGACACATTTGGGCTAAGTATTCAAGGGTGCCTCCTTCCAGCAGGGCAATGGGATCACTTCATGACTGAATCCTGATTAATAACGCTCCCTGGTAACTTTAGAGACCACCACCTTCTACTGCAATTGTCGCTCTTACCTCTATTGCTTTGTCACAGCCAGTGTCACCCTGACCACGGCCCCTGGCCAGGTCTTATCCTAAGTTGATCAAAAGGAGTGGAGTCCCAGCATTTGAGGTAGGGATCGGCAGTGGACCTTTCCTCAGGTCACATGACTTAGCTTGCCATAAGCTGCAGGAGAGGTTCTACCATGAGGTGGTCAGCTCCCCTCTAGTACTGTCCAGTTCCTCTCTTTCAAGTTCAACCCCTCTGCATTCTGCCAGTGGAGATCAGGGAGGAGTGGGTTCCAGGAGATAATATTCCGTACCAAGGGGTACTCGTGAGCCACCTGAGATTGTACCACAGCCTCTTTGTTTAACCTGGAGAAGCCCCAGCCCTGCCTCCACATGAGCAGGTGAGCATCACTGAGCAGAGGCAGTACCCAGCCCAGTTAGGTGTCTGTAATGTTTCTCACCTTCCCCACTGCATCCTGGACCACTTGGCTTTTAGCATCTTGTATTTCTTGATCTCAGTTGTTATTCAGACATGTTTTGTCCATTGTTGATGCCTCCCTCGGAGCTAAGCTCCTCCAGTTTGCTGAGTGACTGGATGTATCAAGATATCAAACATTAGCTTCCACTCCTCCAGTCTGTGGTCTGAACTCTCTGGGGACACCCTCCCTCCCTGGAGGTGGTCCTCAAGTGACCTGTCCTCCCATCTGTCCTGCATTGAGTGCCAGACTGGATGCAGATGGACATTTGTTTCCAAAAGGCCTCAATGGGACCCGCATAGGCTTTGAAGGACTGGACCTTAGCTTCCTCCGTTGTCCTCCGTACATGGGCTTGTCTGAGAGCCCTTCCTTCTGCAGAAGGCGCTTCCTCAGGCAATGATCCTTGGCAGGTGACAGACAAATTCATGATACTGTAAATTGTAAGCCTTTGTATTCATGCCCAAACACAGATTCTCTGGGAAAAAATACACCAGAACCAGACTCCAAAGATCAACAAAGTTGAACTGAAATGACTCTAGTGCAACTGGCGCTTGCAAACGCTGGTTCTGTTTCCATCCGTGAGACCCAGCTTTCCTGGTAGGTTTTTTTTTTTTTCAAAGTGGGTCCTTTAAGAGCACCTAGGGATTTTCTGTGATGCAGTGTCTTTTAGAAAAACTTATGTTATAATGAGGGAGAAAAAAACAACTACAGAACAGTGAAACAAAGGCAAAACCCATCCCGGCAGGGGTTTTGCCGGGGAGAGGTTCTCCAAGGGGGCCCGCTGGACGTGTTGCATGTGCTGTGGAATATTCCTCTTGTCTCTCTGTGATATCTGCCTTTGTGCTTGGCATTACCGAGCCTGGGAGGTTATCGTGAATGCCAGTCCTGCGTAATAAGCGCAACTGACAGGATTTAAAGGCTAAGCCTAACCTTTTTAATCCATCTATTCCCCATTCCTTGCCTCAGGCCATGCCTCTTCTGCAAGAATATACTGCATTCTTGCGCCTGTGATGGGAGCTGCAATAATTTCCCGACTGTCAGTCAAAGCCTCTCTCCTGGAGGAGTTGAGAAAATGCAGGTTTCTCCTTCTGACTAGAAGGAAAAGGAGCTATAAAGACTTATCAGTATACGTTTATAGTTCTCCCTCTTTTCTGTTAGGTTAAATTAATTAATAGAATAGACTAATTAAAATTAGATTAAAAATTAATTCTGAATCTTAAAGTATACTTAGAAATTAATTTATCCATAATTTGTTATAAAATAAATTCACTGATATTGAGAGCTATGTGTTGGGCATTGTTCTAAGCACTGGAGATACGAAATAAATCAGGTCTCTATTCTTCTGTATCTTCTTTGAGTGGAGAAACAAAAAAAAATAATCAAATAGACAAATATGCACTAAGTCACAAGGTGGTAAACGCTGTGAAAAAGATAAAGCAGAATAGGAGATAGGGAAGGAGGAGGGCTGGAGTCCAATAGGGCCTCTCCGGGAAGATGGCATTTGAGCAGAGGAGTGAAGGACATGAGCAAGGGAGCCACACTGGTATATGGAGGAAGAGTGATTGGCAAAGAAAGCAGCTAGTTGTAGACACTAGGGTTCCTCAGTGTATTCAAAGACCTTTTTATGTTACAGTGAAGAATTTGGATTTTTTTTTTTCAATGATGTAAAAATCATTGGCGAGTTTTAAATAAAGGAGTGACATAATTTTATTTATGTTTTTAAAGGATCAACTTGACTGATGTTAGTAAAAACAGCATGAGGGGGCAAAGGAGAAAACAGTTCAGTGGTCAGGAGGTTATTACATTTCATCCAGGCAGACAGTGGATTGGATTAGGCAGTGGTCGCCAACTTTTTGGACCCCATGACCACCAGTGGTCCGTGGACCACCGGTCGGCGACTGCTGGACCAGAGTGATATCAATGGGAGCAGTACTGAGTGGTGATTGGGGTTCTAGAACTATTTTAAAGGTAGAATCAACAGGAGTGGCTGGTGGGTCAGATGTGAGATAGGAGGAAAATAAGAAGAGTCAAGAAAGATTTGGGGATTTTAGCCTAAATCACTGAGAGCATCTGTTTGCTGAGATGGAAGGATTGAGACTGGAGCAGGTTTGATGGTTGGTGGAGAGGATTAGAGTTCAGAATGGGGCACGCCCAGTTTGAGCTGCCTTTCAGACATTCATGTGGTGATATGTCATAAGCAATTGGATATAATAGTCTGGAGTTCAAGAGTGAGGTTGGGGCTGAAGAAACAAACTTGAGTATAATCAGCATAAATAGTTTTAAAGCCATGGGATTGCAGGCATCATCCACAGAGTAAGTGGTTAGAGGGGAGGAGAGATCTGAGAATGGAGCTCTGGGCATCTCCAAAGCTTACAGATTGGGAAGGAGATGGAGAGGGGTGGTTAGTAAAGCACAAGAAACCAACAAACCTTGTGCCAGAAGCAAGGGAAGGAATCATTCCAGAAGGAGAGCAATCAACTTTGCTGACTGCTGCTGGCTTGAATAAGATGAATTATTGAGAAATGATCATTGGGTTTGGCCACTGGATTTGAAGGTCACTTGTGACCTTTATCAAGAGCACTTTTAGAGGAACCATTTGAATAAAACTCAACAGGGGTGGGTTCAAGAGAGAACATCGTAGAGCATATAGCGGCATTATTTAGACAACTTTTCCTGCGGAAATTTGTTATGAATGTCGTATTTGTATGCTAATGCAGATATGGGTAGGCGGCTGGTAGATGTGGTGGTGAGAGCCTTTGAAAGATCATGAGGTTTGAGTAAGAAGAGGATGGGGGAGAGCTATACGTGTGGGAAGTAGCAGAATGGGACTGAATGGACCACGTCAGTGTTTCTCATGCTGCCCTGAGCATCAGAACCACCAGGAGCCTTGTTAAAGCACTGGAGTCTGGGCCTCCCCTGGAAGTTTCTGATGCAATCAGGTCTGGGGAGGTGCCCAAAATTTGCAATTTTTACAAGCTCCCAAGTGGTGCTGAAACAGGGACTCCACTTTGGGAGCCACTAGGCTTGGGAAAAGGGAAATGAGTTCAGAGGTTGGAAGCAGCACTAAGGCCTTCTTGGGTCTGGCAGTCATCCCTGTAAAGTGAAGCTAGCCAATGTGGCTATGGGCTTTTCTCCAGCCTTGTTCGGTAGCTCAGGAGCTGGCAACAGGGGGCACAAAGTTGGAATTCACAAAAAAAAATTAAAAAAATGAAGAGTTGATATCACCAGTATATCTGAGAAGTTTTACTTCTCTGTGATGTCTTTGTTATGAGGATGCTATTTCTTCATCTTTCATTAGAAATAGAAAATATTAGAGAATCGGAGATTGAGAAAAATGGAAGTTTATAGTTGAAATTTACTGTTGCTGGACGTGGAAGTAAACGGAAATAATATCACCTCTGGTCTCATGTTGCAAATAGAAATATAAGTCCTTACCCCTGAAGTATCTATTAATCGTACTGTTACAAAATTCTGAAATATACTTTGAAAAACTAAAATTTGCTTTTTAAATATTATGAGATTAGTTTTTTTAAAAAGTAAAATTTGTTTGTTTTTAAATAGTGAATTTTAATACTATTATATTATTCTTTGCAAATGGTTTATATACTCCTACAAAAACAAGTTGCTAGGTGCAGAGCCTTACACACATGAAATGAATATAGGAAATGAGAAGTCTGCTATTAGAGTGAGGACCACAGCTTGTTAATCAGCATGTGGGAAAGAACTGACTTCCATAATTAAGATAGGGCATGTGAGGTGGCAATTTAAATATAGCCATCTATTTTCCATGTTAAGCTGGTATTAATTTTTAAGTAACTGGTAGTTTTCCTTTCATTAAATAACAGATTTTGCTGGAGCCGGGCGTGATCCAGGATGTGTTAGCGGCTGGCAGCCACCTGCAGCTGTTGGAGCTCCTCAGTTTATGTTCCCACTATCTCATCCAGGTATGTGAGCTAGCATCCTGCCAACACGCCCTTCACAGTCCTTCCCTCTGTCGTGACAGGCGGTACCTCACCAACTGACAGGTAAAACGGAATGGGGGAGGGATATGGTCTCTGCTGTTAGAATTTCTCCAGGACACAAGCTGAGAGCTCATAGGAGCCAGCTACCGCTGCAGCTCTCGTGTCCTAGCTCATGGCCTCCACCCTCCCTGCTCACCCCAGATCCCCACCACCCTTTGGCAGCAGAGTAACTCAACAACCACGCACAGGGGTCACTGCCAGGGTCAGAGAGATGATGCAGGAACAGATCTTGATTTGAAGCAGTGCTGTCTGGATTCCAAGTGAAATAACCACAAATGCACAACAAGTTGGATAGTCCTTTAAGAATTCAGTAACAGAAGCTAATATATCACAAAGTCATATATATTTAATTAGCACATGAACTTCCCAGGCAATACATGCTGGAAAAAGGAGTGATCTGTGCATTCCTCCCTTGACTTGCTGGGGTGATCAGGAAGGCCCTGTGAGGAGCAGGGAGAAAAAAAAAAAGCCTATTGTGAGTTCACACCAATGTTTCACCTTCAGTCCTCAGCAACTTTAGATATTTTGTTTTATTTCTTTAAAAAAAAAATACCTCTATTGATTTCAGACAGGAAGGGAAAGGGAGAAAGAGCTAGAAACATCAGTGATGTTTGGGGACTGAGCCCAAAACCCACACATGTGCACTGACCAGGTATCGACTGGGACCTCCTGCTTCATAGGTCAATGCTCAACCACTGAGCCAGGCCAGCCAGGCTCTTTGCACATTTTTACAAGTGAAAAATCAGAGATCCAAGGTGACATGGCTGATGAGTGGTAGGCCTTTCTGATTCTGAAGACCATTTTTTCTTCTTGGATGAAAACCCTTTGGCTCAGGAGGAAGATAGGGGACTTCTTGGGCAGATAGTATGAGATATTTTACAGAGAGTTCAGTAATAATTCCCTGTTTTGGGATCCTCCCATTTCCCTCACTTGTATGAATTTTGCTGGCATTTGTTACAGCATTATAGAGACAGTGGGGAAAAAATTTAAAAAATGATAAGTCCACACAATTTAATTCTGCTATCCTTGTGAATATGATATGAGGTTAGTAAATAGAAAAAAAAATTATTTGTTCCCTGTTCAGTTATTTTATTTTCTTCCTGATTTTTCTTTCTAATTTTAAATATGGCCTTGATTTTTTACTTCCGTTATTCACTAGGCAGTTTCCAAATCTCTTTCTGCTGCATCATCTTACTTCATGTTCCCAGCCACCTTCGGAAGTAGGAACCAGTGCTTCCTAAGGTGATGGTGTGAGGGATGTCAGCTGTGTTCAACTGAGGAACAATTCAAATACAGTATATGAAAGTTTTATCATCTCAACACATTTTAATCTAATAGTAAATGTTTAACTATTTTTATCTTATTTTTCTTTTTTCCCCCCTCGATATTGTTGGGTGATATGGGGGAGAGATTTTTAATCCCTTTATGCAAATAGCAAATGTAGAAAGGTTACCTGACGTCAAAGGTGTGGGTTAGACTTGTGAAATTGAAATTACTTTTATATGACATTTCTACATCAAATATTGTAACTTGAGCTTTCAACAGCATCACCTGATTCACTTTTTCCATGACAGGTGTAATCAGTGATATATGTGGACAAAATTTTGTATATTGCTGTTATCATGATGCGTGTTAAAATAGTGTGTCTGTACAGGTGTGTGTGTACCTATATATTAGTTTTCTATAATATAAATGAGAATTTCAGACAAACATTAGAAGGTCGTGAATATTTTCCCCTACCCCACCAGATGAATTTGTTGAAATATCAAATGACTGTGGGCTTTGGAATTTAATTCTTGCAGTTTATTATTTTGCTGAGGAAAACATGTAGCTTGCATACAGATATATTTTGTGGGCACATCGTTTGTTATTAGCTTGCTTGAACAGTGGTTGAAATTTTCACTTTCTTTTCACCAATATGCTTTCATCCCATTCTCTTGTGTAACTTCACTTTTCCGTTTTATCTGTGACCATTGCAAAATGTTCAGTGCATGGAAGGCAACTTTGACTATAAGAGAACTGAAACCATATGTATGTAGAAACCTTTATTATGCTAGTCTTTTAAAAATATATACCCTCCCTCTCCTTGGGGATTATAAAATTACCAGACTGGGTCAGTCTGCTTTTATATTTTGACACAGTCTTATAACAATACTTATTTACATTTTTTTGTATTATTGCTCAACTGAGTTTTAATTTCGTATAGAACCATTTTATTGAATATAAAAATGTTTTGTTAAAATGAAAAATCCTCAGTGCTTAAAATGTATCCATCAATTAAGGATAATCTCTATCCTTGTTTAGTATTTGATTCAACTACGAGTCTGTGAAGCCATTCTCCTCACTAAAATGTCTGGTGTTGTCAAGTTTCCATCCTCTCTTTGGTTTTCTTCCAGAGGTGTGAAGGGTAGGACCCTCTCTCATACTGCCTGCTGTCCTCCAGGGCTCATTAAAAAGCATGTTCAAGGAGAGCCCCTTGGTTGATATTCAATGACCCACCCCTACCCCAAGCCTCCCTGAGCCTCCTAACCACTGCTGCTGCCTTGGCCTGAAGTTCTTCTGCACATGCATGGATGCTGCTCTTCCCCACCACCCAGCAAAGGGTAGGGCACCTCAGGTCACTGTGAGCTCCTTTGTCTTGTGGTCCTCAGGGAGGCTGCTGAGGGCAGGGACCCCGACTACCCCTGTCAGTGAGGAGAGGCATTGAATTAGGCTCCCAGGCCTATGAGGCCTCCACCTTATTAGTTTTCAGTCCCCAGGGCCTGTCACTGAGAACACACAGCTTCTCAGTGCATGTTTGTGGAATGAAGGGGCAGATGAGCAATGAAAACGATGCTAACTGTTGGCGATAGGATTGGGGTGGGCAGGAGCTACACTAGCCATCATCCCAGGGTAAAGGATTTACAAACAACTCCCCAAGTTTGTATCCTTTCTCACCCTTCTGCAGTGACATTTCATAGGACTGTCCTACAGAGACTATCGTGTTAGTATATTATAATAATAAGCATGACCCATCAGGCTTTTATGTGCTACCTGCCACCTAGTCCCAAATAAAATGTGAATACGCCCTTCTCCTTTCCTCCTTCTGCTCCTCTTCCTCGTCCACTGTGCCCTTTTTAAAAATCCCATCAAAAGATGTACCAATTCATTAAATAGCAAGCATTGTCTTTAAAATGGGTCCGGTAAAATGCACGATTGCCTTGCTTTTCAGAGTACATGTGTCCATACATGCCACTCCCTGTTTTAAGTCACATAAAGGAATCGCTGCACATGAAGTGGTTTCAGTGTATCTACTGGTTTACTGAATCCCTCAGATAGACATTACAAACCTTTTTTTTTAAAATATATTTTATTGATTTTACACAGAGAGGAATTGAGAGGGACAGAGAGTTAGAAACGTTGATGAGAGAGAAACACCGACCAGCCGCCTCTTGCACACCCCCCACAGGGGATGTGCCCGCAACCAAGGTACATGCCCTTGACCGGAATCGAACCCAGGACCCTTCAGTCCGCAGGCCGACGCTCTATCCACTGAGCCAAACCGGTCCCGGCAAACCTTTTGAATCCGGATTGTTTCCCAAACTCTGATTTTTTTCCTAGCCTTTTTTTTTTTTTTTAATTGAACATCTCTACCTAAAAATCACGTAGAATTGAAAATTAACATGAGAAAACCTGCCCTTTTCTCTATTGATGGTCCCATGGATCCATTAGTTGTCTAGAAATTTGGACATAGTGTTAGGTTCCTCACCACCATATCCAGTCAGCCACCAAGAGGGGTTGATTCTACCTCCCAAATATCTCTCAGACCTGATCCTTTTCTCCATTTCTAATGCTCTTCCCTGTCTTTAGTCTCTCACCATTGCTGGTTACAGGTTATGATGAGTTCATGATCTCCTCCAGGGGTTTGCTTGTTTCTAGCCTTTGTCCATGCCAAACCACATTCCCCAGAGCCATCGTTATCTTTCCAGGGAAGGGAACCAGCATTTTGGAAGGACTGTTTATACTGTGTTTTGCACAAGGATTCCCATTTCTCCTCTGCAAAGTAATCCCTTAAGGCGGGTCAGTGTTGTTTGCTTTTTGCAGATATAGAAACTGAAATTCAGAACTAGGATGTTGACCCCGCCTGGAAACCTCCACTTGCTCCCCTGACCACCCTTCAAACTCATCATTTCACCTACAAAAGTCTTTAGCTTCGTCTCCAAGTCTAGGCCTGTTTCTCGCTTGCCCTAGTGTCTTTCCTAGCCTGCTGTGTTCTGGGCCCTAAGGCCTTCCACTCATGTTGATACCTGCCAAAAGGGGAGATGACAAGGTGACAGGCGGAGCCTTCAGTCATCTCCTTTCGATGGTATTGAGGGGCAGGAGTAGGGAACACACACACACACACACACACACACACACACACACACACACACACCCTCCCCTCTGTGACACACACTGTGTTAAGATCAGGGGTACTGACCCCACTGGACTAGGTGTTGTAGCCCCTGAAAGTGATGCATTAGAAGAAAGTTGATTTGCTGAAAATGTCTTTTTTCCCCCCTCCTTCTTTGTAGTTAGCTTTACAAAGAAAATTTGTATGTTTTGCATCACCTCCCTCAAATAGCAAATAGTATATTGTATTGTTTGATTATCAAGTGTTCTTTGTGTTCACCAAGTATCAGCCTTTATTATGTTATGCAATTCAAATATATTGATAAGGAAGGACCCATCAAGTAGACTTTCCAAATAAGATCACCAAAGTGATGAAGAAACCCCTTTGGAGGGGAATATACTTTTAATATATATTTCTAGGCAGCAGGGGGCAGTGTGAATCCACCAGATTTCAGTAGTTAATTTAAAGCAAAAATCAGAAAAAAAAAATGAAAAGAAAAATTATTTATTTTGCTACATATTAGTCTTCTGACCTAATCAGTAAAAAAGTC